TGGGTCACGGACCCCCCCCCCCCCCACGTGCTTTCCCCCTTTGCTGGAAGGGGATTGGGTTCAGGACTCCCCCCCCCACGTGCTTTCCCCCTTTGCTGCTATGCCATTAATGGCCTCTCTGTCCCCACATCTGCCATTCAGCATGGCAGGAGCATTGGGGGCTTGTGTGGGCCCCTGGGGTGGGGGATTCTCACTTGGGGGTCGCTGCTGGGAGCCGGTGTCACTGGTCAATGCATCACACCGGACCCCCGGGCACCTGCTTACAGGGGGGCTGTCTCTGCAAACGACTCTGTTCTGCCCCCTTGCTGAATGGCCTCTCTGTCCCCACATCTGCCATTCAGCATGGCAGGAGCATTGGGGGCTTGTGTGGGCCCCTGGGGTGGGGGATTCTCACTTGGGGGTCGCTGCTGGGAGCCGGTGTCACTGGTCAATGCATCACACCGGACCCCCGGGCACCTGCTTACAGGGGGGCTGTCTCTGCAAACGACTCTGTTCTGCCCCCTTGCTGAGGGCCCCAGGTAAGGAAATGACCCCCCGACCCACCCGGCATGAGCGGGCGGAGCGGAGCCGTTAGCTAGGCTCTCCTCGGCCAGCGTCTCTCGGGGCCTGTTTATTACATTTGTGCTTTCACTGGGACTTGACTTCCAATTTTCAAAGGAGGCTTTTTTGCTTCTACATAAGAACGGCCAGACTGGGTCAGACCAAAGGCCCATCTAGCCCAGTGTCCTGTCCAGCTAGCCCATTAAGTGATCCCTCCCCTGTCACCCATTCCTGGCTTCTGGCAAGCAGAGGGTAGGGACACCATCCTTGTCCATCCTGGCTAATAGCCGTTGAGGGACCTAACCTCCATGAATCTAGCTAGCTCTTTTTTGAACCCTGTTAAAGTCCTGAACTTCACCACATCCTTTGGCAAGGAGTTCCACAGGTTGGCTGTGCATTGCATGAACTTCTTTTTCTTTGTTGACTAACCGGAGTCTTGGAGCATAAGCTTTCGTGAGCAAAGAGCCACTTCGTCAGATGCATGGAGTGGAAATTTCCAGAGGCAGGCATAAATATGCAGGCCAGAGTCAGGCTGGAGATGACGAGGTGGATCCAATCAAGGAGGATGAGGCCCAGATTCAGACTAACACGGCTACCCCTCTGATACTTTTTCTTTGTTTTAAGCCTGCTACTTATTAATATTAATATGTTTTAAGGAAAACAAATTCTAATCGTTATAATCCTTTTTTTAGAACAAACAGGGTTAGGAGGGATTTCATAAGCAATGCAGCGTTGGCTGGTTATATTTATTATTTTGCTTTTCTCTGAAACATCAGTAATTGGCTATTTCTGAATGAGGAATATGAACCGTGGCAAGGTCAGTGGGTATAATTAGGTATTACAAATCATATATGTTTCTATAACTAATAAGATTAACTCTCATTTCCTTTCTTATTGTCGATGGTGAAACTGTTCACACGCAGGTTAAATAATCGTGAATTAAAAGGGGAAACCCCGATATTAGCAATTAACAATTCTAGCTGCCTCTTTTACTCTGCAGTTCAGCCCCTGAGGCATTTTTTGGCCCCCTTAGTGGGGGGGGGGGGGGGGTAAGGTGTGAATGATCTCCTTGCAGTTTGCAGGCTTTTCACTCTGGCGACTGCTCCTTTTGATGGCCATCTAACCAGCATCCTCATTTGCGTGGCATTCCCCTTGTGAAGTTCAATGCTACTTCACTGGGTTTCTTTGGCACGGTCCTCTGTGTGGAGTTGGTACATTTCATTGCCTTATGGTCACTCTTACCAGCGGTTTTCACCTCCTGGACACTAGTGTGACACATGGGACTAAATGAAGAACTGTCTCTCCCCCTCTGCTTCTCCCCTTGTGCCTTGTTGCTCCAAGGCACAGTCATTTAAGGTACGTCTAGACTACGTGGCTCCGTCGACGGAGCCATGTAGATTTGTTTGTTCGGCAAAGGGAAATGAAGCCACGATTTAAATAATCGCGGCTTCATTTCAATTTAAATGGCTGCCCCGCTCTGCCGATCAGCTGTTTGTCGGCAGATCAGGGCAGTCTGGACACGCCGCTGTCGACAAGGAAGCCTTTGTCAATTGGCGCAGGTATGCCTCGTGAAACCAGGTTTACCTGCACCAATCGACAAAGGCTTCCTTGTTGATAGCGGCGCGTCCAGACTGCCCCGATCTGCCAACAAACAGCTGATCGTCAGCTGGTCGGCAGAGCGGGGCAGGCCCTTGCGCGCTAGTCTGGACACTCCCACGCCGACCTGAAAGCCCTTTACCGACCTCCCCATTATGCCTCGTAGGATGAGGTTTACCGGGGAGGTCCATAAAGGGCCGACAGGTCGGCGCGGGAGCGTCCAGATTAGTGCGCTGAGCCGACAAACAGCTGATCAGCTGTTTGTCGGCTCAGCGCGGCAGCCATTTAAATTTAAATGAAGCCGCGATTATTTAAATCGCGGCTTCATTTCCCTTTGCCAGTCACCCTAATCTACATGGCTCCATCAATGGAGCCATGTATTTTAGACACACCCTAATAGTGATTAGAAATGTTATCTCTGCATCCCACCCTGGAGGAGAGACAATAGGGGGAAGAGTTGAAATGCCCCATTATTTTCTGCCTTTGTAGCCTCCCTGAGAGTCAATCTGTGGAACTCCTTGCCAGAGGATGTTGTGAAGGCCAGGACTTTAACAGGGTTCAAAAGAGACCTAGGTAAATTCATGGAGGTTAGGTCCATCAATGGCTATTCGCCAGGATGGGTAGGAATGGTGTCCCCAGCCTCTGTTTGTCTGGAAATGGATGACAGGGGACGGATGACATGGTCTGTTCCCTCCCGCTGGAGCCCCTGGCATTGGCCACTGTCGGCGGACAGGACACGGGGCTAGATGGACCTTTGCTCTGACCCAATCTGGC